TAATTGTTTCCCATACACTACAAAAGCAGAGTTCATTTTAACTACCTGGACACACAAATTGGGCTTATCCACAGTCCTTTCTTAAAGATAATTTCGAATAATACTACGTAGTAAGACCGAACTTCAAACATTTGCTCACTGCATATTGCATACTGCTCTATATTGTATACCTTGTAAGCTTTCCATTAGAATTTGATTTGTTTACCAAGTCAGTCTTTTTTTAAATCAATTATATCCACGAATGTTTTTTGGGGCAACCCTATTGGGGTATGGTCAGAAACATATAACAAATTACTGGACCAATATCGATAATCATGTTTGAGTTTGAAAGCTTAAGTTTGCAAGCAATTTAAGGTTGTTCGTTCAGCTTATTCGAAATACTTATGACGAAATCAACGCAGGTGAAACACTAAGTGTTGACTGCGGGAAACCCCTACTCTTCCTGGGTTCTGACCCCGGGCGGAGATTGGATGTTTGGTGAGAGAGTCCAAAGGGAGTCGTTTGGTGGGTAGGGCCTTTAAGCATCCCTGGGCCTACGGTCTGCTTTCAAAATCTTCAGACCCTCAAGTCTAGCATACCCGTGCGTCAACTAGGCGCGGATACCTCGTATGAGCCCCTGCCCGAAAAAAAATAGGTGAAACTGCCAAACATAACTAGTTATTGTGTTGATATACATAACCTTCAGATGTTGTAGACGTGACCGCGAAAATTTACAATTAAAATTTGAGTCTCGGCATAAAAAAATAAAAGCACGATATGTATTTTATTTATACTTTTGGTCAACGTAGCTCGGTAATCACGGTAAAGAAAAAACTGTAACGAGAATAGATTTTGTAATTATATCATTGCATAGTTATTTTGATTGATACTACAATGATATATTGGAAAAATCACACGTAGTCTGATTATGTGAATACAAAGAAAAAAGACAATTTTCTTAAGTGCTAGTGAATCCATATAGTATTGTGGATAGGATAGTATGCTTGCTGAAACAGATTCACATCGATCTGTTATGATTCAACATTACATACATATACTTAATAAGCCACAAAAACGAAATAAACTAAACTACATAACAAACGTTATACTCGTTCGAGCAGCAAAAGCACTTCGAAAAATATTTTTGAGTTTTCAAAGTTTCGAAGTTTCATCCTCTTCCCAAGAAACTCACCTGACATATCACCGATTGTACGAAGTCTTATGAAGGTGCAGAGGTAGATCCTACCACCCTGCCTATTTCTGCCGTGAATCAGTAAAGCGATCTGTTTTGGAGAGTGGGATAGCCTTTAAAATATACTATAGAGGCTTGGCTAATATGTTCCATGTGGCATTACGCTATGATTTCTATGAGATCCGACAACTACATAACATTTATTTGGCCATGGTCTCTTTTAGATTAGGCAATGAAAAAGTTAATGCCTGTGTTAGAGGTAAGGCCCGCTGTCGGGGTCCGACGCGCCTCCTTGTTAACATTTTTTTTAGACAGGAGAAAATCACCAGCTCGCCAGGCAGCGACAAGTCCGGTCCTATCTTTGCGACCAGGACACGGCGTTGCACCTCCCAAGCTGGGCAGACAGCGAGCCTATGCTCCGCCGTGTCCAGGTCGTATCCACAATGGTGGCACCTCGTCGTCGGCTCAGCTCTTGTCCGGTGCAGATACTTCCCGAAGCATCCGTGCCCGGTCAGCACCTGCACCAGACGAAAGGTGAGGCGTCCTGCGCCACGGTTCACCCATAAAAGACGGGGTAAGCCGCCTCGACGATCCGTGCCACCTTGTTGACATAAAAGAAGTAAGACTGATTTAAGGTATATCACATTTTGACGCATCGTATTCAGAAGCCTGGTTCCAGTCCGGCGGGATATACCGAAACACCAACAGTGCCGCTTGGGCGGATTGGCCACCAACCGAAATGGCAGTCGTAAGGTCATTGTTTACCGACGACTCCCCTAACCAGGCGTTCTCGAGAGGGTTGCACTTCTGATATCAATATTGACCACGGTCACATTTCCTACCTCTGCTGGGTTCTGTCTTGGGCGGAGATAGGACGTTAGGACGAGGATATAGGAAAGTCGTTTAATAGGTGATTACGGCAGCCCTGCACACCGCACGTGCCTTTATTATGAATATTATTATGCCTGAATTTATTATTTCTAGTTACAATTTACGCCGAGAAGCTTAAATTGGATGCTAAAGCTACCGCTCATCAGATGAGAAGTCAGAAGCGATACCATTCTGGGCACACCGAGTTCTGTAGTTCATTATAGAGCTCGATGATAGATGCTAAAAATTATCTCTGAAACGCACTACAGATGAACGATTCCAGGTATTGGAAATGAAATGACAAACGTCGCAAGCGTGTGAGTGAGATAAGCACGTACTCGTTTACCAGTGTAAATTGCAAAAGTAAAATTCAAGGTGATGACTAGACAAGTGGTAAAATCCCATTTTGAATCGGTAGGTTTTTTTTGTTTTTTTTATTGCTTAGATGGATGGACGAGCTCACAGCCCACCTGGTGTTAAGTGGTTACTGGAACCCATAGACATCTACAACGTAAATGCACCACCCACCTTGAGATATAAGTTCTAAGATCTCAGTATAGTTACAACGGCTGCCCTACCCTTCAAACCGAAACGCATTCTGCTTCACGGCAGAAATAGGTAGGGTGGTGGTACCTAACAGCGCGGACTCACAAGAGATCCTACCACTAGTAATTACGCAAATTATAATTTTGGAATCGGTAGGTACTGAGGTCATTAGGATTTGAAAGCGCCTGTGAAGAGCTATATGAGAATAATAAATGATTTTAATATTAACTGACTCAACTTCTGCGAATTAATCTCACGTTTTTTGTTGTTATTATATTGTTTTCTACGCTTCGGATATTTCGTAGTTTTTGTGGTCGCATACGGACGACGACAGCTTACGAAACTTTTGATTTTCCTAATCTTTTCTTATACCTTTAAACGAGCAATTCTTGTATATTAATATATATGTATATAATCTGAATCCCGGAAACGGCTTCCACGATTTTCATAAAATTTAGTATACAGGGGATTTCGGGGGCGATAAATCGATCTAGCTACGATTTATTTTCAGAAAATGTTGTTTTATTCGTGTTTTCAATAATCAACTCTTCCCGACATCTATTGGCGAATAATAATACTATTTTTCTTAATTGAGGGCAACTAAGCGCTTTAAAGAAACAACAAGATGGCGTTATCAAAAAAAAAAACGAGCAAAGCTTGGTCATCATCTAGTGAACCTATTATATGATTCATGATCGTTCCGTAATAATGTCGAACATTTCATTTAAGATGAATGACAAACATGCACATACCGCAAATGATGTTGGAATTTCTTTTATTTCGTAATCGAATAAGATTGACTACAACAACTAGGACAAGTTACGATACAAGTCTAAATATTATACATTATTTATTATTATCTAAGAGACGGTTTCGCTAAGTCAATATTAAAATAACGTCGCTGTTATGTTTGGCGTCAATTTAACACCTTCCCTAGTATTGCATCGGAACACGCTTTGACTTTAGCATTTAAACATAAACTACAAAAACATATTATCGTAATATAATAATATAACAATATTATAACGTTGGCTGCGAATAAAGAAAAAAAACATTATTTAGATTACTCCACTTTGTAAGCAGGCACAACATATAGGCAAGGAAATGAGCTCATCCTGAAATTGAGGGTTAAAATTTTCACGTTTGATAAAATATAAATATTTATTGTGGTAGGACGTCTTGTGAGTTCGCACTTGTAGGCACTCCCACCCTGCCTATTTCAGTGAGGTAGTAATTGTACTGTGAAAACTAAGACATTAGAACTCATGACTCAATGTGGGTGGCGGTATTTAAGTTGTCGATGTCTATAGACTCTGGTATACACTTAAAACCAGGTGGGCCGTGTGCTCATCCACCCATATAAGCAATAAAAAAACCGCTATAATATCAATTTACTCCCACGCGACTTGCGGTTACAACCACTCCCAAACATAGTTACAAACTTACTCCCAGACATAGATAAAGTTTACGAAACTCAAAGCCCACTAAATCGTTATAAGATGTAAGCTAAGTTATGTAACAAAAATACAGAAGTTGGAGCTTTAGGTAGTCCGTCATCTCGGGGCCGCTAATCCGTTATACTTTTTAATTAACAAACCAGATAAGCTATTATTAAGTAACATAATTACAACTACTTTTACTGATCAATCGGTCGCGCCCACGAAAACTGGAAATTATTCGAAAGGTCGGAAATATTAATAATAGTAACATTTATTGAAGTAATCAGGACTCGTTATGTTAGGACCTACATCTCGGAAAACTAAATTCGTATCAAAATAACAATTATGTATAATAGATAAATCGTTTAAATAAAAATATATACGATTCACATAAATACTATTTATAACACACTAAACACCTACTGGCAATCATTTCAATAGGGTGTTTGGGCTGCACACCTCTTTCGCATAGTAGAGTGGAAGACACGTGCATCCGCGAACATACCATAAGCGCTACAGAAATGAGGCAAGTCCACGAGCCCAAAGCGATACTATACTGAACCCTGAAGGCGCGGTACGAGCCTTGAGTTTTGTAGCCCATAAGCTGCACGTGTACAGCAAATAATATATTGAAAATAAAAAATGCAATATCGTATCGTAAAAGTAGATTATTTCTAAGAGTCCCGAAAATTTTCGGAAGTCATCGTGACCTAAAAGATAAGACGTCCGGAGCATCGCTTCATGCACCGGTGTTCGAATCCCGCAGGCGGGTACCAATTTTTCTAATGAAATACGTACTCAACAAATGTTCACGATTGACTTCCACGGTGAAGGAATAACATCGTGTAATAAAAGTGAAAATTATAATTTGCGTAATTACTGGTGGTAGGACCTGTTGTGAGTCCGCGCGGGTAGGTACCACCGTTCTGCGAATTTGAAAGTGTCGCAAAAACGTGATTTCAAAAACCATTTACCTTAAGTCATTGTACATGCTAGAAAAGACTGGCAGGCCGTCTTCATCTGTACCAACATGGGGATCGAAATGCCAAGTGCCGCCGAAGTTTCTAGTCGCTTCGAAAACTGTGAAGTTGACGTGATACTGTTTCATATAGCGGGCTGCACCCAAACCTGAATATCCAGCGCCGATGATGCACGCTCTCGAAGTTTTCTGCAACAACCATTTAATATTTATAGGCTTTCACTAGTAGGTACTAACTTCATTAGTATTTACTTAATAGAATCAGAAGTAACGAACTCGTATGATATCAATTGTATTTATTATTGTTGTTATTTCATGTGTAAACTGTTCATTAAATTCAAAAAGAAAAAGGGACATTGGAATTTTTGGATGCGTAATTGAGAATGATTTTGTATTTATCAAATAAAAGTGAGTCGTGAAATAAAAAAAACAATGAAAAAATTAAAATTACATTGCCGTAAATCTAAATATGGAGAACATCCCAAAAACAAATAATATTGTAATAATTAAAGTATTGCTTGTAATTCCGAATACGGTAACTAGATCTCGATGGAATACAATTTCTCAAGTACTTTTTGCATTGCACTTAAAAGTAGTTATTTCACATTATTTGAATTTTTTTTTTTTTTTGATTTTGACGCATGGAATACAAGAAATTAAAATTTCAACAATCAAATCAATTCGGATACAAATAAATTTTTTTTAAACCTTTATTTTAGGGCTCATTCAATTTGCAACGACGTTGCATGATATTTTTTAAGGCAAAAATTAGGTTCCACTTATATTGGTAGCCACCACTGCAAGTATGTGCTATAATAATAATAACCGGGAACATGTCACACATGGACAGTCCCTAGGATTTCTTATACTATGGGAATTGTAAGCATTCAGACAAAGAACAAATAATCATGCTTTTCACACGAATATTTGCAGTCTAGCAGTTAAAGGCACTAACTATTACACCACCGAGACCGCTAAAAAATGGATATGATTTCTTTTAGGACGTTAGGAATTAGGAAGCTAGGTAGGAAAATAAGTGATGATATTGCGACTATGGACAGTATTAGAGAACAAGTAACGCAGCAGTAACGCGAACAATGAGGGGTTTAAATTTTTATCTACGATTATTAAATCAGCTCGACTGTAATCCATTATTAGTTCACTTATTTCGTTATCAAATCCTATACAAAAATCATTAAAATAGTATCCAACAAAAAACAAATATTGAAATACCAGAAATAAATAATTGATTACCAAAAAAAATTGGTTCCATAACCTGCATTTACACAACAACAAAGGTTGTATTTAATCTCCAATAAGGTAAGGTTCGTATTAAATTTATTAACATGCAAAACAGCTTTTCCACGGTGGCTTAGCCTGGTTTTCATCTAGATGAATGCGGGACATCAAGGTGACTAAACATTAGCAGTGATACTTTGATTCTTGGCGCTAAAATAAGACTTACTTTTCAAATAGGTTTTACTGGTGGTAGGACCTCTTGTGAGTCCGCACGGGTAGGTACCACCACCCTGCCTATTTCTGCCGTGAAGCAGTAATGCGTTTCGGTTTGAAGGGTGGGGCAGCCGTTGTAACTATAATTGAGACCTTAGAACTTATATCTCAAGGTGGGTGGCGCATTTACGTTGTAGATGTCTATGGGCTCCAGTAACCACTTAACACCAGGTGGGCTGTGAGCTCGTCCACTCATCTAAGCAATAAAAAAAAAAAATATAATTATAAATGAATAATATATAAATGCTAATTACATAACTATGCGAGTTTTAAAATTTTTTCTAGAACAATTCTGATATTTTTTATTTATGGATTAAGGTCATAAATCTCGCAACGGCTTATAGAAGTAAGGTAAAATCAAGTGAACAAAGGGCGGAAGAAGCTACGTTCACATTAACAGCATTCTTCAATTAATTCGTTTCCTAGATGACGACTACAATCAATAACAGCTCGATAAACACGTCACTCTTGGTGATTAATTAATTCGATTCGCACATTGTTAGATAACAATTCCGTCATTTGCCTTATAATTGGTTAGAGAAAATTCATGAATTGGTAACAAAAAAAACCCTAGGCATTCAAATACATTTGCTTTATAATTGGTTAGCAAAAATTCATGAATTGGTAACAAAAAAAAAACGCTAGGCATTCAAATACATTTAATAATTGAATTTTCGTATTCAAATCAGGAGAACGCAATAGCCTTGTAAGGTACAATTTTGCGTACGAATTCAAGTGAACAGGCTGATTAGATTTCCAATCACAACCTATAGATTTGTTAACATATTCACACAACGAATCCGCGAATAGTTTTGTTGTTGGGCAATAACTTGATTTAGTCGAAGCCGTTAAATAATTGCTTTAGTCGATAATGGAATACATGATGTTTTTATTAATTTACTTACAATGTCCAATTTATATTCCAATATTTGGTAATTTTATATCGATAATATGTCATTGATTGCATGAACTTCTATTTATAAATAATTACAGCGTGCGAAAATGAAAAAAATGTTTACAAAACCAAATCAACACAAAGCTAATAAGAAACAATTTTGCAATCTCGAACCCCACATTTAGAAACCTTATGGATTATTGCTTAAATAGGAATTGACCATTTATAGATATATTATCTTATTGTATTGGGTAATCTGAATTAAATTGTATAGTTAATTGTTTGTATTTTTTTTTAGTTCACGGCCTATCAACAACGTAAATGCCGCTTCCCAACTTGATACATGGGTTCTAAATCTCAGTTTTATAGTACAAAGTCTACCCAATCATTCAAACCTAAACGCATTACTCCTTTCCCGCAGAAATAGGCAGGGTGGTGATTCCAAGACGCCCACGCAAGACTTCACAAGACCCCCTCACACCACTAAAGACCCTTTATCATCCTCTGCTGTCTAAATTTGAAACAATTGACCTATATCTTTTTATCGGCTATGTCAATCAAACGTTGATCTAATTTAGAATGCTATGATATCGTCAGCTAAAATAAAGCTTTTAGAGTTAACGATCCCTTCACTTTATCAGGTCAATGACGAAAACGCTGAGGAGGCCTCAGCCCAGGACATAAGACAACCTTTAGTTTAAGCTTCTTAATTGTACATGATGGAGAAAATTACCTAATAAGAATACAAAGGTATTATCATGTCACTTGTGATCATCTTCCCATGAAGCCGTGCTTCAATGCCGCTAAGTAATCGCTCGTCCATGACACGACTCGCCAGTACAGCTTCGATTACCATTACAATGTTTTATAATTATACTAGTTTTTGCCCGCGACTTCGTCCGCGTGGAATAGTTACTTTGGCATAACGCTAAATTTTACCCGCGACTTCATTTACGTAGAAAGTGAAAATATTTTTGAATAATAGAATGTTAAGGAGCTATTTAACCAAAATCATGCTTTTTAACCGACTTCAAAAGAGGACGCTATCAATTCGACCACCATTTTTTATCTATGTATGTTTACCGATTTCTCGAGAATGCTTAAACCGATTCTGATAATTCATACATTATTTTAGCGAAACTTTAACCGATTCCGCAGCGCACACAGCGTAAGCTCTCAAAAGGGAAAAAAACCCAATTATGAAACATTCTTTATTGGTGCTCCGTCTTAGCGTGATCTTATATAACCTTCCTCAATAAATGGGCTATCTAACACTGAAAGAATTTTTCAAATCGGACCTAGAGTTCCTGCGATTAGCGCGTTCAAACAAACAAATTCTTCAGCTTTATAATATTATATAAGTATAGATAATAGCTTTAAAAATGTACTAGAATATCGTGAAGTCCGCAGAAGTAGATGTTCCTGCCTATTTCTGCCGCTAAGCAATTTGCATTCCGGTTTGAAGACAATTTTATAACACAGCTGACACCTCGACCTCATATCTCATGGTAGACGGCGCCATTTACGTCGCTATCTAAGATCTCCAGTCGGAGCTGTATTCAGAATATTCGGGAAAGCAGCTTTCAATTACAAAATACCATCGGAACACACAAGATAGCAAGTTAAGACGAGGTAAATACTATCTATTAATTAAACAACAAAAAGAAACGTCCGTAGCCTAATAGATAAGTTACTCGATGAAATTTTTATTACGCGCTTATTTTTATTAGGTTGTTATTTTTCTAACTAAATATTGCAATATTTATCTTCTATATATATAAAAATGAATTGCTGTTCGTTAGTCTCGCTAAAACTCGAGAACGGCTGGACCGATTTGGCTGATTTTAGTCTTGATTTATTTGTGGAAGTCCAGAGAAGGTTTAAAAGGTTTAAAATAAATATGAAAATGCTCGGAATTAAATAAAAATAACAATTTTGTTTTTCCATTGATATGTCCCCCGTCGAACGGATTCCTTTTGTTTGTTTTAAGTCTATTTTATTTTATTTATCGATTGAGGCACTACGAAGTCTGCCGGGTCAGCTAGTTTTCAATATAATTTGATTCAAAGCTAAATTTATTTATAAACAACAAATCGTTTTCACGAAGTTTCAATAAAACAAGTATTTATTTGTTATTTTATTTATTTTTACTCTGTGTAAAAAGTCTTCAAGTGCAGTATTGTTTAATGTTTATAAATAAATTACCCTAGAAACTGTCCGACGTGCCGATGCTTAGAGAATCAGCCGTGGGCACGTAAAGTACATTAAGAATAACTGAATTCATTGAATGGCACATCAACTTAATCTTAAGTTATACAGAGGTATATCAGTACTAAGCGGTGGCCGGTTGGTTACGAAAGTCTGCGTTTGTATTCGAGTACCTACTTGGATGCATTACACAGTGTGCATGTGAAAGTCCCCCATTAAGAAGACACAGAACGATTACATTATATTCTATTCAAATAATATTCTTATATTCTATTCAAATATCAATGACGCATGTTTTCCATTGAAATTTTATTATCAATCTGAAATTATAAAATAAACATAATAAGAACGAAATGATGAATCGGGAATACCTATGAACAAATTAATTATATCCCTTATCTTTATACATTTGACCCGCATATTGATTCTATCTACTTATAGGTCTCTATATATCAGTCTCTGTTTCCCATAGTAGAAGGAATCATGTCTTAGGGCCAGATGATGAAGTGTAACGTGTTCTCGAATATCTATATTATTTTCCCTTAAAAAAAATACACTAAGCGTGGAGATCTTGTAGAGAGTAATCTTTTAGGCAGCGGCTTGGCTCTGGCCCTGGCATTGCTGAAGTCTATGGGCGACGGAAACCACTCACCATCAGGTGGGCCGTATGCTCGTCTGCCTATAAGGACAAAAAAAGATGGGTCTTCACTCTGTCACCGCTATCCGATGCTTTCAAATGTAAGCACACGCGAATACATGAAGAGAAAACAAATCATAATTGATTTCTCATTTTTTTTAAAGTCGTCAAGGTATTTTTTATAAGTACCTACTTAAAAGCACAACTTGTTATGCAATCACTAATTATAGTTTCCTACGTGTGTCGTTCTTATTTAACTAACGAGAACTTAATTATTTTCTGTTTTAAACTAGTTAGCTTAGTAACGAACAAGTCATAGAATATTTTTGTTTTTTAAATTATTCATGTTGCGGTACTCAGAGCTCTTCGAGATTCATTGAATGCGTTTTGAAGATATATTTGTATATACTTTTGAAATTTACTATGAACAAGTTTAGCAATTTGTTTCCACAGGTATATTTGAGACTAGTAAGAGAGCGTGTTATAAGCACACCAGTGGTAGGCGCCACCCCATAATGTCTAAGCACACGACTTTAGCAATGTGTACCAATACTTATACTATACATTTGAAACTTCAACCTTAGTTCTCAAGCTAAAATGCGGTATCCACGTTGTGTTACCTATGGACTCCGACAGCCAATTAACTCAAGTTGGATCACGAACTACTTCATGCATCTGTGCAATACAAAATTCAAACTTATTTAAAAAAAGTCGTTTTTTTTGTGAAGGAACACTTCACATGGTCAAGACATTACTAACCAAAAAAATCTTGTAGTTAATGCGCAAGACTTGGAATAGTGCAAGGATAAAAATCCAACTAATCCAACTGCACAAAAAAAAACAAGGAGTAAACTATTTTGCTTTCATTAAATCCCATCTAAATGACAGTTGAGTGTAAACTACAAATGAAATAATAGACGGTCTAACCAGCTTTGAAGTACAGTAATGACGAACGATAATAATCTTTTTAAAATATGCCGATTGAGAAATATTGTTAACAAAGTATGTCATATCTGTGTCAGTTTTAGAAGTCGTCTTCTCTTTCTTCAAGCTTTTCTTCTTTGCTAAAAATCTATCTATCAATCGATATTCACATATACTTTACGAACTAATAATTTACTCTCTATTCCTATCTATAATCTATCGACTTCTAATTCAATCTATTTATCATTTTATTGATATTAAATGATTAATAATAAACTCTACTGCCTTCAACATTTTCATGACCTAATTTGAAGCACTGCTGGCCTTTATGAATAAAATAAGAGCAGAATTGTTAAGTATTTCCTTGTTTATATCACTTTTTTACTAACAAAGTTACTGAAGAAAAACAGCACGTATCTCGGATAAACATTGTGATTTTATTATGACAGAAACAAAAACAACTTAAGAGGACTTGATCGCGACAATATTATTCGTTTTACTGTTTCGGTAAATAGGTGAAAACTTTATAAATTATGTCAAAATAAAACAACAGAAAAAATCAAACATAATATAAACAAATCAATCAAAAAAGTGGTTGCTTCTGTATCCATATGTGTGTGCTTTAATATATTAACATCTACTATTTGCGATAACAGGAAAATGACCAAAATTATCATATATAACTAAAGTAATCCTAAAAAAGAAAAACAAGTTATTCGCATAAAGAATAAAAAAGAAATGCCGCGAAAATTATAATAACTCTTTCAAATACGTAATTGACGAAGTTTTTGAAAGCTTCCTACAATTAAATTAGTATTAACCAATCGGTCCAACACCACCAACAAAAGAACAAAAGTATGTACTATTCCCAATTGGTATGTATACATTTGAAACTAAATACAGAATCATATAAAATTGTAGTTGCCAGCGCGCTGAAAAAAAAACCTCAAACCTAACCTACCTAAAAAAAAAATAAGCAAAAAAAAACAAGGATAACAACATACCAGAGTCAATCCGTTCACATTGACAAAGAGAATATTGAACATGCATAATAGAGTCACGTAATAATACATTGTGTTCTTAAGTTCACTGTCCATAACACCATTAAATATTTTATTAAAAAAATATATAAATTAAACGAGTGTATTACTTGTCGGCCGGCAACTCAATGAACTGAGAGTGCACACTGATCCGCATGAGGACCTAGAAGGGACCACTTCTAGCCTTGACCATCGCGGCTCACTGACTCACATACGTATCATATCGTCGCATACATTAAATATGCATATATCTTGTGAAGTCTAAAGAAATTCGTAAGCTTAATTGACAAATTAAACATCGTTAATTATTCTTAATAAAACCTTACCTTAAATACTCTGCGACTAATATTACGGAGATCAGGATTTTTTAAGTCTACATTTAGTTTATATTTTATTGTCCAGACTGGATGCTCTCAATTATATTTGCACCCTTCAAACCAAAATCCATGATTGCTTCACGCCAGAAATAAATAAAGTGGTATTAACAAAGCGTGCCACCACCACATAAGCTACCACCAGAAAACAATTGTTTATTTACATATACTTATATTATACATACTAAGTAATTTAAATAGGAACCGTTTATCTGTTACTTTCTAAACATGGAAGAGAAAACTACGTTCTAAATAAATAACAGTGAGGACTCTTTCAAATATAAAAAAGGCTTTGTTTCTTTAGTGGCTTTTAGTGCTCCATGGCTGAACGTCTCTAAATAAGGTATTTGAATTGAGTTAAAACTTTGTACCTCTTATTGTTGGAAATTCAATCGACCTTAATTTTATCTCTGAATTTATGCACTGAGATTCACTTCGTACATATCAATGAGTTCTGGTAGTCGCTTCAAATCAGGTGTGCCGTAAGCTTCTACTCATCTATGGCTATTTAAGCCAAACTGAGAATGAGTCCGTTATTTTTTTGTTTACTTACTGCGAGTAACCTTGAGACGACCCCACGAGCTCGCCTACACATTCAGTGAAGCTTATGATGCTAGCTTAACTGAATGTGTAGGCGAGCTCATGGGTCTCAATCTGGCAGACTTTGATAACATCTGCCCTAATAAGAACAGTGCTTCGCTGACGCTATAACCGGATTGGAATCAAGAACCACTGAAAAGGTCCGGCGAGAAACACAGTGGGCTGTGGGTTAAGTGCGACAAATCCTTTGCCGCATTCGACGGGTTCAACGGGAACGGTGTCCAGTGCTTGGAATGTCTACTTACAAGCATCGAGAGTGGATCGGGAGGATCCGAAATGACGTATTTAGGGCGATGGCGACTATTTATCCTTTGATCGTCTGCATCAGACATATAGTTTGGGACGGCCATTATAAAAGGATTGTTGTGTCACACGAGTCGAGCTTACATATATACCTAATATTACTCTAAAGTAAATAAAATAAGAATTTATAAGTTTTTATAGCAGTTTTCTCGATTACCTAGTCATGTCAATGACAATTTCATTTCCACATATTTTGTAGGTCGACATTAATTGTCAACTGATTAGATTAGACTTTCGCAAACAATTATTACCTACCATGTGTTAAAATTAGTAATTATTATTTCTTGTCAGTGAAAAAATGCGTTAGTTGATGATAATAAAGCATTAACATACTGAGTATTTGTTTCCCTTTTTCATCCTCCCTGTTCACAATTGAAATATTTTATTATTAATATTGAAATATTTTAATATTTATAAAAATTTCAGTCGTCGTGGCCTAAAGGATAAGACGTCCGGTGCATTCGTATCTAGCGATGCAGCGGTGTTCGAATCCCGCAGGCGGGTACCAATTTTTGTAATGAAATACGTACTTAATAAATGTTCACGATCGATTTCCACGGTGAAGGAATAACATCGTGTAATGAAAATCAAACCCGCAAAATTATAATTTGCGTAATTACTGGTGGTAGGACCTCTTGTGAGTCCGCACGGGTAGGTACCACCGCCCCGCCTATTTCTGCCGTGAAGCAGTAATGCGTTTCGGTTTGAAGGGTGGGGCAGCCGTTGTGACTATACTGAGACCTTACAACTTATATCTCAAGGTGTGTGGCGTATTAACGTTGTAGATGTCTATGGGCTCCAGTAACCACTTAACACCAGGTGGGCTGTGAGCTCGTCCACACATCAGGTAAAAGTTAATAATTGTAATGTGTAAATTATGAGAGACTTTTTGGAGGTAGCGTGAGGAGTTAAATTGTGTGGATTGTTGTTTATTGTTGATTGATATTAATCTTTTAGCATCTGGGAAAGTTGTTCAGTAACTCTACGAAAAAATCCATGAAGTGTCCATTTTTCTCAAAGGATATTCCACTTCGTCTCACCCAACAGCTATGTTGTTATCTTAAACGTTCCATTATACCTTTTATACAACACTCATGACTTTCACTTCTTCTACAAAATACTTGACTGTATGGGCTAGGTTCCCTTTGCCCGCTCGATAGAAAAATCAAACATTAAAAATTGAGAGTTCAAAACTTCAAAATGTTCAAATTTTTCAAAACACATTAAAGTTGTGTATTTTTTTATATTGCTCAGAATTTATTTAATAATAACCAATAATGTCGCAAGATACCAAAGACGAATTCTCCGATGTTTCAGTAATTTAGATTCCAGATAAAATACATTAATTGAGAAATTTCAATAAAATTTTCACGTTACAATATGTTCCAGATTCCTCCTATATTAGAAGATGTGAATAGTTGGGTGCAAGATTATTTGCTACAGCCAGAAAAATTAAAAATACATAAATGGGAACGTTCTCAAACGCATTGGCATAGAAAACCCAATATAGATTCCTTATTTTTGCTAGATGATGATGATGAGAACGAACCGGACACAACCCTTGAGGTAATTATGTTGAAGAAAATCAGATGGCTACTAAATTAGGCAGTAGTTGACTTGTTACTTTACTGAGATCATTTTACTCTTTGATAATTGACTAAGTAAGACCTACCTAAGGTTGCCTTACCACTAAAGTAGTTTTTAATTAAAATTTTACAGCTTAATCTTGCGTTATTATTTTCATTTGACAGTTTTCATCCGTGACCACCGTAAATATGGTTTCAATAGAGCCTACGACTCACGAAATCTGAACAAAACACTTAAACTAGGATTTATTATTATTCTGCTTTAAGCTATATAATAATATTGTTCATTTAATAGATTTTGTGAAATTTGAGAATTTTTTCTTTCAAAACTTATTTTATAAGGCTGCAGAACAAGTAAAACAACCACTATTAGCAATATATAGAGTATGTAGAAATGTTTTCGTGTTTATTCCTTCTTAAATATGCATTCAGGTTTGAAGTGTAGCCAGTCAAGCAAAAAAATTTAGACTTCAACCTCATGTCTTGAGAGGCAGTATTTTACCCAACAAGTGTAAGAAAACTCATCAAGCAAATATAAATTAACAACACAAATTCTCTTAAAATTCTCTCAAATTTCGAAAATAATATGCAAATTGTAACACTTCTCTTAAATGTGTCATTTTAGGTAGTTAGAGATCCTTTAACAGGTGAGATTATAGGAGTAGAAGAAATCTGCATACCAACAGAGGATGACGAGGAAAACTTATCAATGGCTCGAGCACCACTGCCTCCAAGCCTTGCCACCCGTGGTACTACAACACAGAGTCCATTTTTACCAGCTGGTTTTGAAGAAGATCTTCAAAAGATGATAGAAGAGCAGCAAAAACAGATAGAAATCAACCTTAATACAGAGAATGATGTACCTGGAAAATTTTTGGGTGAAGGTGTGATTTGAAGATATGACATACTCTAACCTTTAATTTATTACCAGACTTTTCCATTTTGTTCAGTTGTATTAATCAGTGGCTCTCAACCACTGTCTCACTATGCGTTGATGTGTCAGATGTGTCACAAGCCCCTATCACGTGGACTACAAATTTACGAATAGGTACTATATTTATATCTAAGGTATCCCAAAGGAATTTCGTCTCTATGTTACATATGGGGTAAATACATAGCTGCTTACTAGATGTTAATTGTACAACTAAGTTTAATAGATTAATGATGTATACTTTAGTACACCTATCACTAGTATACCTATCCCTCATAATTAATTACCCATCTTCCAACCTTCACTTCAACTATACACAATTTTGTATGTAAGAAAGAGTGTCACAAATTTGTTTGATAGTGCATCACTGAGTTAAAAGGTTGAGAACCGCTGGTATAGATTTTACATGAAAATCACCATGTACATAGTATCCTTGATATTAAATGCTAAAGCAGACAGTCTAAAAAGTCAGGCAAGTAAAATTGAGTAAATTTAAATAGAGTTTATAAAACACTGCTCTGCTTGGAAACTTACTTTGTAAATAAATAAACAATCTGTTAGAAATTATAATTTTGTAATCATTTTGCTGTTTTAGACAAAATTTAAAACATGAGTCAACTGTTCCTGTCATTACAGATATATTAACTGTAGCACCAGGCTGTAAGGACAGTGTATTGTTTGCTGAGGATGGTTTTACATTGCTCAATGAGGGCAAACCTGAAGACAAACCTGATGACATTGAGGATGTCGACATCAATATCAAGATTAATTTGGAAGAGATAGTGGAAAACAATGTACATTTAGTAGGTAAAGTTTCTTTCGTTATAGTCAAAAAATTTTAGACATTCTATTCTATCAGCCCACAGACGTTCACTGTTGAACATAGGCCTCCCCCAAGCCTCGCCACAAAGATCGATCCTGCAGTAATTGTATCCAGCAGGTCCCCGCGAACTTCAATAGGTAGTTGGTCCATCTTTTGGGAAGATCTACCCACGCTAGACATAATGTAACACATTAGTGGTTTCATGACGTTTTTTAATTTATCATTTGACATGCTGTGATGACTTATCTTTTTTGATCATGAGTAATCATGACATGATAAAAAACCAACAGCCTACATTAAATTACGTTAGAAAATTGTCCCAACTCTCAACTGTCATTTTGCTACAACTAAAAAAAGAATAAAAAAGGAATCGAATCTGGTTATTTACCTAGCTATTATTATTACAAAAGAGAACTTTCCTAATAAATGAAATTTATGTATTTTTTTTATAATATATAAAATTACAGATCTATGGAAAGATGATAGTGAACAACCTCAAAAACCTAAAACACCAAGTCATATTGAAGTAGCAACAGATGAAATAGAAAACGAAAATTTCCTGGAAGAAACTGTCGTCAAACCTCCTGTAGAACTGCCAGAAATACCAGTATTGGACATAACCAGTTCTGTGGGAAAATTAGGAGTGACTTCCACAGAATGGGCCGAGATGATTGATGTTTCGAAGCCTGTACCAGAATTTAGAGACAAGATTAAAGACATGGCTCATTCATATCCTTTTGAATTGGATAATTTCCAGAAGCAAGTTAGTAAATCTTAACATTATGTTACATGTTTTCAAAATTAATAAAAAAATCATGCGTGGTAGAAACCTTCAAAAATTAAAATACAACTATCCTAAATGTCTAAGTATATGTAAAATCATGTCATTAGTAAATAATTGTAAATCATCTTTTATAGTATGAGGTAGCACCCTATGTGAATTGATATTTCACGTATTATATAATCCTAAATTAAAATTCACTACAAGTGGTTTCCTACACACGTTAGTATTAAAAAATCTCATAGATGGCGCTGTATTAAAAAAACACTACACTGAGAACGTCTGATGTGTTCTATCTCATTCTCTCGCCGGCTGAATCCTATACATTTATGTGTTTGTGTCTCTATGGACTTATTTTTTCGTTTCATCGAGTCAAAATCACAACGAATCTAAAGAAGTTTCACTTCAAAAGTTTCACTTAAAAAAAAAGTACACATTTTTTTAAATATATTATGATTGTTTTAGGCAATATTAAAATTAGAAGAAGGTCATCATGTATTTGTCGCTGCTCACACATCTGCTGGTAAAACGGTGGTCGCAGAATATGCAATTGCGATGTCAAGAAGAAATTACACAAGGTATACCATTTTCATGAAAGGAATGTGGACAGAATTTCTTTGTACATGAATACTATAGCCCATCTATCTTTCACTCAGCTTCATTTAAAACAAATCATATAACGTCAGAATTTAAGTATTTGTGTAGTTAATTTGATTACACACATTGTTATATAACAATGCCTGTTTATACTCGATACAACGTCATAGCCAATTTGAATCGTCGGTAATGTATTATGTTAAGTTTGAATTAAAATGCACATTAATTTAATACTAAATTAAGTTCCCAAAAAAAATATATATATAAAGTTAAATTACTTGAAAAAATGGGTGTTCAATGAAACTATTCAGTAATGTTCTATGTTAGTTAGCCGCAATAAGTTTATAAGATAGGTAAGAAATAAAAAATATTATAGAACAAAATAACAAGGAGTATGAAAGTGTGTAACAACAATTGGTCCAAAGCAGATCTACCCTTTGGATCATTCCTGATCCTGCGTAAAGAATGGAAAGCAGTTCACGTCGCTCAAAACACGTCATTTCGGATTCTCCCGATCCACTAACGGTGCTTCTAGGTACTTCAAGCACCGGTCACCGTTCTCGTCGAACCCGTCGCTTGCGACGAAGGGCTCGACGAGCAAATTAACCCTCAGACACAGCCCACTGAGTTTCTCGCCGGATCTTTTCAGTGGGTCGCGTTTCCGATCCGGTAGTAGATTCTGCGAAGCACGGCTCTTGCTAGGGTTCGTGTTAGCAACGTCGTCAAGTTTGAGCCCCGTGAGCTCACCTACTAGTTAAGGTTACGCTGGAATAGCCTCTCAAGGCTACCAGCTTAGGTAGGAAAAAAAAACCTTTGGAGAGCCTGGCAATGTTTCCTCAAATATTCTAAAACTTCTTAGGATCTAGATATTTATTTTCCTTTTTGCAACTTTACTACTGGTGGTAGGACCTCTTGTGAGTCCGCGCGGATAGGTAACAAACCACGCTGCCTATTTCTATTTCTGCTGTGAAGCAGTAATGCGTTTCGATTTAAAGGGTGGGGCAGCCGTTGTAATTATACTGAGTCCTTAGAACTTATATCTCAAGGTGGGTGGCACATTTACGTGGTAGATGTCCATGGGCTCCAGTAACCACTTAACACCAGATGGGCTGTGAGCTCGTCCACCCATTTAAGCAATAAAAGAAAAAGTATATAAATATACAATAAAATATAATTACAGTCTTGAAGTATATCTTATCTTTAACAAATTCAAGGGCCATCTACACGTCTCCAATTAAAGCTTTATCGAACCAGAAGTACAACGATTTCAACAAGTTGTTTGGCGATGTCGGCTTGCTGACCGGAGACCTGCAGATCAACGCCACCGCATCCTGTCTCGTGATGACGACCGAGATCCTCCGCTCGATGTTGTACTGCGGCTCCGATGTTGTCAGAGATCTGGAGTTTGTAATATTCGACGAAGTTCATTATATCAATAATGTCGAGGTGAGGCATTTATCGCTGTTTGAATACAAACAGTCGACTGGTTAATAAGTAGTACCACGATGATACAATTTTTTATTTAAGGGATTTTGTGACCTGGTATCTAAGACCTTTAAGTCATGTCTTATTTTAATTTATATTCTTATTTTTATGAAAAATGATAATATGGAGTGAAATGAAATGAAGATGATTAATTTAAGAAATTAATCAACTGCGATGAAATTAAATGAAATGGGATGGGATGAATATAATCTCAACAAAATGGTGGTAATTTACTGAGATTTTTTCAGTGGACTTTTTGGATAATCCCGAGAAGTTACGTCCAGCGGCTTTGTTTCATTTTCCCACATTTGTGCACTTTCACAGGTATTAAACAGTTAATAAACCACCATCATTACACATTTAAACCTGAAGAAACATTAAATAGACAAAATAAAACAAATCACACAACTTCACTCCTTGCGTTCTTGCCAAAAAGTCCGCGATGATACCAGCAATGCCAAGAGCACAGGTAAAGCGCTGCATAGGTACTGTAAATAACTCTCAGCAGAAGATGTCATAGCATGCATAGCTTGGCTATGAAATGTCATCGTGACAGTGACATAATTTTATGTCAAAAAATTTAAAAATCAAAGGCTTTTTAATGACGATAACCTATTATTAAACATACACGAGCTTGTAACCCTGACCAGCTCAAGTTACAGTTATTACTTCTATCTCATTCTTCGGTAACATTTGTATTTTCAAACTATATCTATACCTAAATTAATAATTCCTAAAACATTTGGGCATGCCGGCAGACGTACGACAGTTCAAAGGTTCCCATAATAGCCTAATGAAGCTCATCGACCAATACGCACTCAACAAGGAATCCGATAAGTTTAAATTGCCAATTAACATTAATTAAGTTCCATTTTTTTCCTACCTAAGCTGATAGTCTTGAGAGGCTATTTCAGCGTAACCTTAACTAGTAGGTTAGCTCACGGGGCTCAAACCTGTCAGTTTCATAATTAATCCACAGCGCGGCTACGTGTGGGAAGAGGTGTTGATCCTCCTGCCGTCGCACGTGAGGATAGTGATGCTGAGCGCGACCGTACCGAACACGCTGCAGTTCGCGGACTGGGTCGGACGAACGAAAAAACGGAAGGTGTTCGTCGTATCGACTCCCAAACGACCGGTACCGCTGTGCCATTATTTGTACACAGGTATTAATATAATTACGCCGATAAGAGTAACGCCATCTATCGCCGAACAGCAGAAACGTAGTAAAATCGAGACGTACAACGCCATCTATTATCAGATAGCAGAAACACACATCGAAACTACTCGACTTGCCCAGAACGTTCTCCATAAATCTAGGGATGTCGTCTCGACTATAAAAGCATTGTAGAGATGGCACGAGTCGGTCAGTAATCGGAACTACAACAAACAGCGAACGGTTCCCCTAATGCGAAACGGAAAAAGCGAATTGAGAATTTTAAAGTGCTCGTTAAGCGTTCTAAATGTTAATACAGTTTCAATTTGTACTTCGGTAGAATTCTTATTTCCCCCGAACCTCAGCGCTAATATTAATATTATTATTATGCTTTAAAGTGTTTACACGAGATACTCTAAACCCCGTACATTTTTTTTTTTTTAATATCATTTATAAAACTGTATTTTGGTAGGCAGCGGTGGTAAATCAAAGAATGAGAGATTCAAAGTGGTAGATCAAGAAGGAAACTTCCTGCTCCGTGGATACAACGAGGCCCTCGCTGCTAAGAAGTCCAGGGAGAACGATTACAAGAAAAACTTTGGCCCGAAAGGTCTGTGTGATTATTCGTTATTATTTAATTTTAAAAACAGTATTTAAAATCAGTTCGAGACCGGTACATAGACCAGTTCACTACTCATAATGTTTATCGAAGAAACACCTTAATAAATCAATAAAAAAGCATTAAGAATTCATTTGGAAAAAGTATTTATTAACGACTACCAGTCATCGATTGTCAATGGCTTGCAGCATAAACTATGCCTATTTCTGCTTAAAGATTGCCTGTACTGTCTTGTCATCGCCCACCCATCTTCTTCAGCTATTCTTTTGTTATTATTATTAATCACAATCACAGTTTAGCATAGATGGTGTCGGTCAGGTTTGCCATAGTAGTCATCGACATGGCTGTGACCGTGACATTTCCGACATACTGTTACATATGCCCCTCAATAATAACGCAATATAAATAATAATGCAGACTAAGACATTCCTAAATACATCGTCTCTATATAAATACGATTTATTGCTAAAGCGCGGCATTAACACACAGACACAACTCACTGAGTTTCTCGCCGGATCTTCTCAGTGGGTCGCGTTTCCGATCCGGTGGTAGATTCTGCGAAACACTGCTCTTGCTAGGCTCAGTTTTCTCATCTGCGCCACAAGGGCAATAAAAAACTCTATCTCTTCCCGTGGATATCGACCGAGGGATATACTGGAGATTGGACAACAACGTTCTCTAAGTATTGTAGCGTTGTATTGTAATAGGTAAACAATATTCACTGGTATTGGGTACCATTAGACTGCCTGTTTCTGCCGCGAATCATACATACGTTCAAAGGGTGGGAATGGGCGTCACATAATAACAATTGAGACCTCATGTTTGAAGGTGGGCGACATCTTTCACCTTCTGATGTCTATGGGATCCGGTAATCACATCACACCTAGTGGGCCGTAAGCTCGTGCACCCATTTAAGCTTTAAATAATATGTTTTAAGGTGGGAAACAATACATGAACCCCAAAGCTGAACAGACGATGTGGGTCGCCTTCATTGATCACTTGAAGCAAAACGACAAACTTCCAATTGTGGCTTTCACTTTATCTCGCAACAGGTAAGCTTGTCTTTAAAATCTGACATTAACCCCGTTGTCTTGTCTACATTCACATTTCTCTATAAATAATACAGTGATTTTTTTAAAATTAATTTGCAATAAACAATCCGAAATAATTCAAATAATTTGTAACACTTTTTTTAGGTGTGACCAGAACGCGGAAAATCTGATGTCCGTCGATTTGACGACGGCGAAAGAGAAAAGTCACATTAGATCATTCTTTCAGAGGTGCCTGCAGCGATTGAAGGAGCCTGACCGTAAATTGCCGCAAGTAATGTATTATTACACGAACAGATATTAAAGTACAGTTTTTGGAACGAAGTTCCTTATGGGACGATGCGGAGGGGTACCCTAACCGGGATAAAACGCCCGTAACGTAAGATTTTTATTAGTAAAGCACACAGTGTATGACTTAACTTTGTAATAACGTACAAAAGATAAAATATTTTTTTATAATCCATTGACCACGATCTCAGAGCGTTCATTTGCGCAATACACTAACTCTTATGCAAACAAACGTGAATGAAGTGTACCACAATAAGTTCGCACGTTACCGAATGACCGTAGGTTGTTGCGAAACCTCCAGTTTTATTTTCTTTATACCTTAAAGATCTTAAAATTAATATTTTTATAATAAGGAACATCGTTCCTATCCAGTGTCCCACGACAACACACATCTTTTTTATTTATTTATTGCCTTAGTGCCTACGAACTGGTCACTCTTCCCTCTTGCTCGCTCTTGTTGTCAGCAATACTGTGGGCACAGCTTATCTCTGACCACTCTCCTCGAACCTCGTTTGAAAAAAACATTACACAGACTCATGAAGGGGAGGTAAATGTGAAATATATAGCCCACAATTAAATGCGTGTTAAACCTGCATAGTTACATCTTTGTAGTAGCTCAAATAGCATAGACAATAGATAAAATGGATATATAGGTAGAGCGGCCACTGCTGTCTATATACACTAAGGTTGCGGCTGTCGAATGTGCATACGAATATTGGCCACACATTAATTTGAAAAAACAAAAAAAGAATGTTCTGGACCTTCATAATTCCGCGTGTTGATCGTGAGATCCCCCCTACCTACCCTGAAAGAGTTCCGTCTTAGGCCAGGAGAGAGTGACCAATGGAGTTTAGTCGGTAGTCAGGTTGGAACCCCATATAACCCGGCCTGATCCCCACAGGTCGGGTATCCGTAAACTGGAGTCCTCAATATTAAAATAAAAGGGTGGTATCTACCCTTACGGACTCACAAGATGTCCTCCACCAATCAAAGTAATTTGTGATCACTTGTTTTTACTTAAAATCATTGGTAGCTGCTAGGGAGATGTTAACTCCCGTTATATCATTAGAACCGTGACGATATGTGAATAATACCACAGCCGATATATTTACAAATCCATTTCAGTTGTTCTGATTTGATTTAGGTCAACATTTAGTTTTAAAATTTAAAACTTGAGTGACTCATAATATCTAATATATAATATCAATCATTTAGGTCAAATTAATGTAAAAATTGCGAAAAAATAATCTTGAAGGCATACGGAATCGAGAGCCTTCTTAGTCTCTTTAATAAAAAAAACATTAGAAGGTATAATATGCATGTTCCTTTGTATTAACTTACTATATTTTCAGGTTTTAAGATTACAAAGAGTTTTAGAAAACGGTATCGGCGTGCATCACAGCGGTATATTGCCGTTGCTGAAGGAAATCGTTGAAATGTTATTTCAGACCGGTTTCGTAAGTTCCTCAAATATTTTAATTGTTCCGCTCTAAAAATAACCAACTGTCGATACCATATCGATTTATATTCTAGCCATCGATTTGCAGTGAAAACGCCTAAAAATGGACTAGAAAGAACTGATTTTTCCGCGCTTGCAACACCCAGAAAAAAAATTGAGGATTCTTGAAATGTGAATGCAAAGTTCTTGATGAATGTCATCTTGGTGCAACTTTCCCCCATTTCGTAATGGATCGTAAAAATTATAACGCTTTGTTGTTTTTTTTTTGTTTAGCGCTCTCATAACAATCGAAAAAGTCATAATTGACAGCTATAAAATTTCAGTGTTGCCATTTGCACGAAAAAGAATTGCACAAAATTATTATCACGCACTGACCTTCCGGTGCCACTATCAGATCCCGTTACCTGAAGCAGTAGCGTCATGTTGCCTTATAACTTACCTCACCTACCGAATTAATGTTTGGAAATGATATTGTCGAGCGACAGATTGAGCTAGAGCCAGAATTCCAAGTATAATTGACTTCAAGCATGTCTTTAAGCAAAATTTACTGGTACCACCACCCTGACTATTTCTGCCGTGAAGCAGTAATGCATTTCGGTTTGAAGGGTGGGGCAGCCGTTGTAACTATACTTGAGACCTTCGAACTTATATCTCAAGGTGGGTGGCGCATTAACGTTGTAGATGTCTATGGGCATCAAAGCAATAAAAAAAAAAAAAACACGTCTGAACTCGATAAAATTAATTAAGGACTTTTAGCAGCGTAAATTGATCAATTTACTATGTTCCAGGTTAAAATATTGTTCGCGACTGAAACGTTCGCGATGGGCGTGAACATGCCGGCGAGGACGGTAGTCTTCGACGAGATCACCAAGTTTGACGGCGTCGAGCGCAGGACCCTCGTTCCGGCCGAATACATACAAATGGCGGGAAGGGCTGGACGGAGAGGTAACTCGTGCCAACAAAGATGGCCGTCGATTTTCCATATTCAATAAACCATAAACTCGCTCTATCAACATTTAGAGAATAATATTTATTTAACTAACAAATACTGAAGTGTATCTCAAAACTAATAATAAAAATAACACAATAATCTAAATCAAAGCGATGTTTCGAGAATAGTATATTACGCACCGAGGGAGAAATGGAGAGATGTTCCACTTTTCTCCCTAAGTGCTTATCAATATTTTTTTTCAACCGGGATGAATAGTTCTTATATGTACTCTTGTATATAAAGAATGGGTGCAGGGCCGAATCCCAACAATTCTTGATCAAGCTTCCATTAGCATAAAAATATGAACATGCAGTTTCTAGGTTACCGGGAAATAAAGGTACGCGCATGCGCACATTTGCAGTCTCACCGGAAGAGAATCGGGTACTTTTGTCCCGTGTGCCAGGGACTAAATGTGAACTTTTTATCCGGGGGGGGGGGAATGTATATTGTCGGTACAATCAATAAACATTATTTTTTTATTAATTATTATTATAATATTAAGTTATTGCATAGCTTTTATCGCGGGTTTTAAGCGCCGCGACCAAATCAAGAAATTCCGTAACGAAAATAAAACCTAACACCCCCACTCCGCCTAGCATGTAGCTCGCGTTCAATACATTCATACGTTGCGCTTGTGTAGTGTTTGTGAATAAGCGCGCAGCGTGACGTCGCACTGCTTGCGCACCATGAACAGTCTGCCCATCTCTCTCTCGCGCGGTCTAGCTTATGAGTGTAAAGGGGACAGTTAATGTTTTGCTTTTGTTAATGTTTAAATATAGCGTGGTCTTATTTCATTATTGTTTTAATATTAAATTATTATTGTTTAATTATTATATAATTGCATAAGTTGATTAAAAATGCTATGCAATAGCTTTACCGCGGCAGTCCCCGAATGCCACACGTGTTTTTTTTTAATTCTCAAAGTCGAACTGAACGAATCTCATAACAGTTAAGTCAGTGGTTTCTAAGAGGAAATATTCCAATAAAAATACCTTTGATGCGATAATTTAAAGTAATATTTTTTGGTACAGGTCTAGACGACACCGGCACAGTGATAATACTTTGCAAAGAAAGTGTTCCGGATTTGGTGACGCTAAAAGGAATGTTATTGGGAACACCGCAGAAGCTCTCCTCCCAGTTCAGACTGACATATGCCATGATCCTAAGCTTACTACGGTACGTGCGTTCGTTTTTAAGTCGATCGAAACCTTTACAATTTGGTTATGTCAGTCTTTATCGTGTGTCTTTGGAAAATCTATATATTAATACGTGAAGCAAAAACTTTGTACCCCCCTTTTTTACGAAAATTGCGCAGACGGAGGAGTATAAAATTTTCTACATTTATACTTTACATAGAGAAGAAATGTAGAATGAAATTTTTTTTTCATTATGCATAAAAATATATTAAACCAGTAAAAAATATATGACACACACACGCGTATATACTCTTTTGTTTATTGTTAAAGTCTTTGGTCAAATTGAGAATAGATTAAATATTGTTTGTCTTTATTAATATTTTTCTAAAGTGTATTTTTGGCGAAGTCTATGATTATAGAAGTATAATAGTTTTTGACAATCGAATCAGAATAGTATACAAACTTATAATTTCAATTAATTATAGTTGTTTTTCACTGGCGGTAGGACCTCTTATGAGTCCGCACGGGCAGGTACCACCACGCCGCCTATTTCTGCCGTGAAGCAGTAATGCGTTTCGGCTTGAAGGGTGGTGCAGTCGTTGTAACTATACTGAGACCTTAGAACTTATATCTCAAGGTGGGTGGCGCATTTACGTTGTAGATGTCTATAGGCTCCGGTAACCACTGAACACCAGGTGGGCTGTGAGCTCGTCCACCCATCCAAGCAATAAAAAATAAAAAGTCAAATTTTGATTACCGAGGGACCACTAGTACAGTTTTAATGCGAGAAGACGAATCATTGTCCCACAGAGCGGCCACGGTTTCCGTCGAGGGCATGATGCAGCGCTCGTTTTGCGAGTTCAACCAGATCTGTCAGGCGGACAACTACCGCAGACAGCTCGAGATCGCCGAGAAGGAGTACTCCGAGAAGTGCAGCGCCCCCCTCGCGTCGCACCTCGCCCCCCTCGCCGCCTTCTACGAGACCGCGGCCGCCTACCTCGACGTGCTCAACGAGATAATGCCCATACTGCTGAACCAATCGAAGGTGGCAAAGGAATTGGACGCAGGGAAGATACTGATCGTCTCCGCCGGGCCGTATATCAATCAGCTGGCCGTGTATTTGAATAGCACTGGTGAGTCTTTAATGTTTTAATAATGTAACAAAAACATATTATACAGCATATAGGCAACGGCTTGGCTCTGCCCCTGGCATTGCTGAAGTCCATGGGCGACGGTAACCACTCACCATCAGGTGGGCTGTATGCTCGTCTGCCTACAAGAGCAATAAAAAAAATACACTTAAAATGCGTAAAATCCAGCATCCTAAACTTGTATTCTTTATTGGATTGAAAAACTAAATTGTTAATTTTTTTAATTTTAAAATATGTTTTTTTTTAGGTCCACGACAAACTCCGTATAAGGTTTTAGTACTGAACACGCCGATCCAAGACTCGTCGCGTTATAACTTCGAAATCGACGAAAATTGGTACCGGATGCTCAGTTTCTCTGCTACATACGATGCCATAGGTACGTAATGTAACTATACTTATTAGATATTAAATATATACACTACAGTATAAATAAAATATAGTATGAAAGCTTAATGAGCCAAGAAAACAACACAAGTGCCGTCTGATATTTGCTCAGCATTGCTCACAGACTGATAAATGTGAGTGTCTGCCATATTTGATTATGATGCTAATAAAAACTGAATTGTCCCATTTAATCGGACATATAAAGGTTAATAAATAGTTGCAGTTTATTGATACTATTAAGGTATAGACGTAATTGATAAACGCTAAGAAACTATGTCATTACCATTGACAATCAATTTGATTATTCATTATAAATACAGTACATGTGTAGGGATCACAAATGTCCCCAAAGCAACTAATATTTATATGTACGTGTTAGCGATAATTATATTGCAGTGATGCTACGTCAGTCTTTTTTTTTTATTGCCTAGATGTGTGGACGAGCTCACAGCCCACCTGGTGTTAAGTGGTTACTGGAACCCATAGACATCTACAATGTAAATGCGCCACACACCTTGAGATATAAGTTCTAAGGTCTCAGTATAGTTACAACGGCTGCCTCACCCTTAAAACCGAAACGCATTACTGCTTCACGGCAGAAAAAGGCAGGGCGGTGGTACCTACCCGCGCGGACTCAGAAGAGGCCCTACCACCAGTAATTACGCAAATTATAATTTTGCGGGTTTGATTTTTTTTACACGATGTTATTATTCCTTCACCGTGGAAGTCAATCGTGAATAATTGTTAAGTACATATTTCATTAGAAAAATTGGTACCCGCCTGCGGGATTCGACCACCGGTGCATCGCTATATACGAATGCACCGGACGTCTTATCCTTTAGGCCATCCCGACTCTCGAGATTGTCGGGCTGTCGATAGCACGTTAGGTTGTAATCCCAATATACGTTAGTCACTTAACTGAACACGTGTCTTATTAACCCTTGCCCGATATAGAGACTCAACACTGGTGACCCCGACGGAACATTTGATTATTTCAGGTACAGAGGAAAGCACGATGGATCATAAAGTATTGTGTATCGCGCCAAGGAACATAGTTGCGGTAACGAAAATGAACCTAAAAATCGACGTCACTCGCATTATACAAGACTGGGAACAGCGGCAGATACCGCGGTGGGTACACACCTAACTAATGTCGAGACCTATATTTGAAGTACAGTAGATTGTAGGGGAATTGGAACACTTCCCAATTCCAACATAAATTCTCAGCGGTTTTTCTTAGGGTAATAATACCAATAAAATGAAGATTAAAACGGTTCCCAAGGTTTAAATTTTCATAGTTCATTGAAAAATATACATAAAAACTTAAAAAACTAGCTTGACTTGATCCAACCTTGGCTTTTGGGGTGAATCGGGTTACGTATGGAGACAATAGAGTTTTTCAATAGGGCTGGCACTGTTTAATTGTTAGGTAGGTAACTTACCTTTAGGTAATTAACTTTTCAACATATTTAATCAGTTACAAAATTCCGATGACTAAATTAAACTATTTAATATTCTTAAACACTAAATAAAAGTTATTTTTAATTTAACAAATTTAAATCTCACAAAGTCATTGTGACAACCCAGATTTGTATGTTTTGTTTATATTTCAATATTCATTTTAATAAATTTAAAATTTAGTTTCAACAAAATGAAATCTCACAAAAGCGTTGTGACAACCCTGATTTTTCATTATTCTACCCCTTAGTCCCTATTCCCCCCGATCTACGGTTAAGGCGTACCGTAAAGTGTGCTTGACTGGTCAGGTTCAAGGACGCTCCGGTGGGGGCGAGCTGCGCCAGCACGGTGCAGGAGCTGTCCCGCATGTCGCACGCCGCCCGCGCCGGCGCCGTCCAGCTCGAGCGGATCAACCTCACGCACTCCCTCGCCATCTCCACCGGCGAGATACTGCAGGCACTAGACAAGTTAAAAACACTATCCGTATGTATACACCTTAATTAGACCAAGTTTTTGAAGTTATACTTCTTTAGGCGCGTTATGAAAAATTGATGAGAGTGAAATTTTACGATGCGCGCGCACCGTGACACAAAATTAACAGAAATGAAGTTGCCCACTAAAGAAAAAATGCTACCAACAAAACAGAAATGGAACCTCTGTTAGTGGCGCATGTTGGCACGCACGCCGTTTCTGTTCACTGTGTATTTATATTTACAATATTTATCCATATGCTTTGAGTTTCTACATTTAAAACACGTGTTTTCATTTTGTTTTCATTATACAAGTGCGAATTTTATATGTTCGTCTGAATTATAATCAGAAGTGATTTAAATTGAATATTTAAATCAATTCTAATTAAAATTAGAAAATATTTGTGAAAAAACTGTGCTCATCTACGTTCCTAAGTGCTCCAATACAATCGAGGCTAACTATCCGTATGTATTATTTAGTAATATAAATGACAAAATGATTATTTAATATAGTCCAAATTATTAAAATTATTATTAAATATATTATAAATTATTATTTAATTTAATATAATTAAATGTAATATAATGTAATTAAATTTATTATTAATTATTTAATATTAATAAAAAAAAAAAAATTATATCTTCTTACGCGCGTATGTAAGTACACGCACCCTTTTTTTATGGATGGACGAACTCACAGTCCCCCTGGTGCTAAGTGGAGTTTCTCGCCGGATCTTCTAAGTGGGTCGCGTTTCCGATCCGGTAGTAGATTCTGCGAAGCACTGCTCTTGCTAGGGTTAGTGATAGCAACATCGTCAGGCTTGAGCCCCGCGAGCTCATCTACTAATTCGGCGAATCTACAATAACCCCTCGAGGTTCCGAGAATAGGTAGGAAAAAATTAATAAAAGAAAAGACGTTATGTTGAACCCTATTACACTTGAATGCAATCTTAAAATTGCATTTTGGAATATGATAGTAATAAATGAAAAATCAAACTTTAAAAATATTATGGTTTTTTTTAGTTCTAGTAGAAAAGGAGATAATACAGGGTGGCCCATAAGTCCTTTGATATGAAAAAATTTTATTAAAATAAAACTAATTACATTATGAATTAAATTTTTATTTACATAAAAAGCTTAAAAAACGGGAATTATTTTTTGAAAATAACATCTCCTAAATGTAATCCGTTGCGATCACGGCACTCTTGCAAACGACGTCTAAAATTGTCGATGACTGCGCGGCACGTCACTGCTGAAATGCTTGTCATTTCTCTGCGGATGTTTTCTTTTAGGGCCTCAATTGACCGCGGGTTTGTGTCGTATACTTTAGCCTTAAGGTAGCCCCACAAAAAAAAATCCATCGGGGTCAGATCTGGACTACGTGGAGGCCAGGAAATGTCTCCTCTCTTAGAGATAACTTTGCCAGGAAAAAGTTGACGGATAACGGGCATAGCAGTGTTAGAGGTGTGAGAAGTGGCCCCATCCTGTTGAAACCACGTCCTGGCATTAAAGCCTGAAAAGTTTTGCAATTCTGGTATGAAAAACTCTTCGATCATAGCCACATATCGCTCCGACGTAACAGTAACTGCGCGCCCTCTGCCATCCTCAAAGAAGTAAGGCCCTAGGATACCATGGGCTGACATAGCGGCCCAAACAGTCACTTTCGGACTATGTAAGGGCTTCTGATGCTTAAGTTTTGGATTGATGGGGCTCCAATAGCGGCAATTTTGTTTACTAACATGCCCGTTAAGATGGAAATGAGCCTCGTCAGCTTTACTAATTTTGGCTATTTCGTTTCTTATCGTTTTCGTCTTTTCTAAGTTAGATATAAGGTCTGCTCTATTTCTTAACAGTTCTTTAGTTTTGTTTGATACCCAATCTCTCTTGTTGATTTTGTTTTCTAATTTGCCTTTATTGTATAGAAGTTCTTGGAATTTATTGTATTTATTTTGTATGTCTAGGTCCTTTGTTTTTTCTATAAATTGCTCGAGTTTTCCTTTTAGTGAATCGGTATTATCTAATGTTCCGGTGTTGGCGTGCTTTATTTTGAAGGGTCT